ATCTTAAAAATGGTACTTTTTATTTATTGCTTAGATGGGTGGACGAGCTCACAGCTCACCTGGTGTTAAGTGGTTACTGGAGACATTTACAACGTAAATGCGCCACCCACCTTCAGATAAGTTCTAAGGTACTTTTAAGGTCTCAGTATAGTTACAACGGCTGCCCCACCCTTCAAACCGAAACGCATTACTGCTTCACGGCAGAAATAGGCAAGGTGGTGGTACCTACCCGCGCGGACTCACAAGAGGTCCTACCACCAGTACCTACTTAACCTCTTCATCAACTCATGTCTTCAACTTAAATTAAATCGGTTTGTGCTGTCACTACCTTTTCTAGCTATAATGTAATAAAATAATAATGATACTTCCCTAATCTTCTGTATGCAGTAGCATAATAATCTATTTATCTTCTAACCTCTGTCTTGAGCGCGTACAGGTTGTTTTGTGTGCGCATACGGCTAGGTACCACAATACTGTGGAGTTCTGCCGCAAACTTGACGCGTTCTTGACTAAAAACCAGGATAGCCATGTACTTTTTTATTGCCTTTGTACGCAGATGAGCATACAGCCCCCTGATGGTAAGTGGGTACCGTCGCACGTGCACTTCAGTAATGCCAGGGGCAGAGTCAGATTTAATACTCTCGATAAGCTATGTTTGAAAAAAGACATGTCATAAAATTCTAGTATATCTAAAATTTTGACCTAGATCTTGAGGTGGTCTGTCAAATTACGATGACTAAAATCATTAATATGCAATTTCTCGTTCCTTCCAACTGTTTCTATGCTGTGGTTCTGGTACAACCGTTATGGATACAATAAAAATTATATCCAATCAAAATATCGAATGAAGTGACATTTCGACTTGGCGTGTCTGTGTCTATTCCTATGAGCAGCGGCGTAACTGATCACACCAAATAACTCGTCAATTATTGGTTACAAATTAAATTTAAACCAAGTACAAGACTCATATTTCGTGTGTTTTTAATAACGCTTACAGCTGTGGTTTTGTTAGCACTTGTAATCTACACCTTATCCTAATTTACCGCTCTTTAATACATAATGTCACGGCGCATCAAAATAAACCTCGTTATTACATTAAATCTTTCCGATAAACAAACATTAGTGTCACTATTTCATTTTATAATCTAATTTTTTAATGGATTTACAAAAAATACCGCGTCTGATTTATGAATGTTATCTGTGTACGCGGCCTGCTTTTTTTGTTTTTTTTTTTCAAGATAAGGGAAGTAATAGAGGAAGCACGCGTGATTTATCGTTCGGGTCAGTTGATTTTTTTCAATAAACCACTGTTTATTGGACACGCGAACGTAAATTGTTATTTATTTAGTAAAAGCTGATTTTCTTTTTGATTATAATTTATTGTCGAATGCTTAGTTTTAGATACGTTTGTTTATAATTAACGATCTAAAGATAACTGAACTATTTCGTACGGGAAACAGATTTCACTATCTATAACAGCTCATGGAACGATGCTATAGAAATAAAGCTGAACTTTAATTAAAAATGTTCGGAACGATATTTCTAAATTGGCTATCATTAAATGAGCGGTCAAAATTATTTTAACAGATAATAATTATTGTAAATTTTCTTTTTCAAAGTTTGCCATAATAATTTATTGAAGTTAGAGTACGACGAAACATAAATAAATCGCAAACTGGTTCACAAAGTAGGAACAAGTTTGACATATTGTTTACCCGCTTCAAATTCTAATTAATGTCATGCTCTACCGCGTTCTGAAGAAATTCAGTATTTGGTTACGCTAAATTGAACATTTCTAATACAAGACCCAAATAAAATCGATCACTTAACCATTTCTGTTTCTCTAATTTTATTCTTGAGTACCTACTTGAGGTACGAATTATTGAGGAACTACCACGAAAGGCTAATATAGCCATTATTCCAATGCCTCAAGTTATACCGACTTTATGTTGCTTGACTGAAATTGTCCCTCCTACCTGTCCCGGCTGGGGCTCGGCCATTTGGTCGGGTGGTGGGAAAGATGTGCTCCGCATCAAACGCCTCCCTCCCTCTTTGCCTATTCATGTGTTCTGTCTCATGCGAGATTCGGACGTTAGTTGTTGAGCGACAGGAGGTTTTAGTCGGTTCGACTCCAACATTCCCCGCCCGCCATCCCCAGTGGAGGGCGAAAGTCCGGCGATTTCCTCCAGACCAAAAAAAAAAAAGAATCCAATTGAGGCTTTTATGTCGCGGTCTCTAAGAACTCCCGTGCTTACTTGGTGCCAATGCTGTGAATTCGTTCAGTGAACTAAGTAAAAAATAATTGATATTCTTCATGTACGTAAAGCATGTTTATTTTCAAATGGAATTGAAACTGGATTTTCAACGCATCTTCGCTTTTTTCTCCTCCTATCAACAACTTAATAATAAGACCAACTTTTTCTTACTTACCCTGATCCTTCAATTCTTTGCGTGCACAGAGCGAAGGTAATTGGATTTAGATTGGATCAAATTAGAAATTTTCCTCGTTGCCTTTTGTTTCCACGGGAAATTACTTTTTGATGGTGCGTATCAAAATCGAATTTGGACGGAAGTAGAAAGTACTTTGGATAAACTTGGTTTTCTCTTCGGCAAAGGGAATAAAACTTTCCCTTTACGTGCGTTGTTGTTTGTGGCTGATCAAATTACTGCTGTTAACAGGGGTGTTATAGAACTATGTTCTTTAGTGGATGTAGATAACTATTTACTCAAGCCAGGACGCAATCGAGTTAAGAAAACAACACACAATGTTACATGAAATTGTGAAATTTCTGTGTATATTTAACGTAAATGTGTGTCATGTAAATGGAATATTTTTACGGAAGTCACTGTTGAAGTATTTCATAACTCCGTTAAATAAATAAAATATGAACTTGCAAGCATACCTCGGTTGGAAGCTTATCGCTCCACCGCAAACATTGTGTAGGAAAATTCAAACATGAATACAACATATACTTCGCTTGAGAAAATGAAAATACGTTCGGGTATTTTTTGACAAAAATTGCAGATTCTTCGGCGAGGCATGCAATACATTCTGATGAATTTTTAACATGCTTTCATTAACTGCACATATAAATCAATTTTGGTAAAGTCAATTTTAACCTATTTCTCTGTTCTTCACATAGATTTGAAACTTTGTAAGCATACTCCTCAAGAATTCATAATGAACTACATCACTGCTTCGCAAAAATAGGAAGGATCCATGGTACAATAATTATCAATTCTAATAATCTCACCGAGTTTCGGTTCTGGAGATAGTTAAACTTTCAAAATATAACCTTGTTAAAAGCATGGCGATATGCTATTTAAACAGTAAATGTATAATCCAAATTATTGAAATTTTATGTTTTTGAGTACATAATGAAAAACCGTTTATAAGTTGAGCAGAATTAATTACAATTGCATTAGTTAATTAAATAAAATAGAAGTTGAACATCAAATTCACTAGTGGCCATAGAATTGAATTAAATGTGTATTACCATAAAATTGTTGGTGTCTTCTGATCTCTGAATATAAATGTTAAAGATAGCGGCACCCCACTGAATACACCAACATAAAAACTGATGTACTAGAAACGCTCGTGTCCAATTGCTTTAATACGGAAAGAGTCGAATGTGTTTTACCTAAATTAATCTGTAAAATTACAAATAACCTGAACATAGAAGAAAGAGAGGTGCCTTGGTGAACTTCAGTGATCGGATGGGTGTAATGTATCGTCAGTCGAGTAGCTGAGCTCACGGGGCTCAACTAGAGAGGACTTGCTAACCCTAGTAGTAACCCTAGTAAGTGCAGTACTTTGCTGAATCTACCACTGGATCGAAATCGCTATCTGTGAAGATCCGGCGAGAGCCGCAGTGGGCTGTGTCTATGGGCTAGGTTTATACGTCAAACTCTTTGTACGTATTCTCATGTATTTGATGAGTTTGACAAGACCGGTGACTGGTACTTGGAGGTCTAAAAACAGCAACAGTGAAGCGGTAGAATCCGATAGGACATGTTTAAATAGTGATGGCGGCTTTGCATTGCCCCATCGCCTGGATGTAAACAGTTTGTAAAAATTGTTTTCCAGTCATTCAGATTTTTAATTTTAATGAATTAATGAACATTCTACATAATTCGGGATAGGAATTATATTATATTATGTTATTTGTACGGAAGTCTTTAATTGACAAGCACTACCGAACTCCGATTTTTTCAAAAAAATATTCTATGCCTGGTTGGAAATGGAACTCGACCCCTGTTGGTAAAGTAATCAGGGTAACTAACTACTCTACCAACGAAGCAATCTCAAGTAAGTCAATTGTAAATCTGCCATCATTTAATGAAATAGAAAAAAAAATTGTTCCTATACTTCACCTTCTAGTATTTTTAGGTCCTTGCTGGTCATCTCTGCCCTAGCCACAGGCTTAAACTAATTAGCCCCCCCTGGTCTATGTCAATGTTGTCACAGCACGCGGCCCGGTTTAATACGTGTGTCTCCATTAGCCCACCCTAAGTTTAAACACCCTGTATGCTGACAATTCGCCAAAATTGATTTGTGTTCGTTTGATGTTCGCTGTAAGGGCGCTATATGAGATTATGTTTGGATTTCATTACAGTTTCCATGCTGTTTTCATTACTGTAAATTTATATAGTGCCATTTTATGTTTTGTAGTGTCGAGTGTCGTGCGTGAATTTTTTAGATTCATTAATTTGTTTCGTGGAATATTTTATTGCGAATATGATATATTTAAGTATTTACATAGCACAATAGTATAATAGCGCCAGTGAATGTAAGTTATTTTTAGTCACAAAGCTAAAACTTTGACTGTTTAAATTACATGGATCAGATTTTTTATGTTCAGTGAAGGTAACATAAATATTTGCGATATTGTAGAACTACAGTATGTCTACCAATCATTATCTTAATGCCCCTTTATTTAGGTAAGTAAAATACTAAAACAATCTTAGTTGAATTATGATAAAAAAAAAACAAAAGACAGGAAAAAGATAATTCTTTATTTAAAACATTTTAAAACTAATAAATATTAACATTAAAACAATTATATTTTAGCGATACATTGCAGGTCTATAATTATCAAGATGTATAAAATTAAAATTATTTAAGAATTTTGACCAAATATGAGTATTAGGTAATTCAGTCCCTCCCCTCTTTCGCTTTTTAAGTGAAGAGTCACATTGGTAGCCCCGACACCGCCACTTGTCACGGTGACTTCTGCTTTCGTTCGGGATAAATCTCTGGCGATGATACCCTGGTAATGTAAATCAAAATTCGTATTAAAAACACGCAATGTAATTCAAAACTAAAAATATAAAAAAAAAAAACGACATAAATTCCAACAGAAATTTCAGGAAGTTGCCATTGGTGCTTCCATTTTTAAAATCAGTCCACGATCGGATTCATTTTACATGTTTTGTTCCGGTAACTCAGTATCTGATGTAAAAGTACATACAGCACTCTGCTGCACGTCTGCATACATCAACTGGACTATAAAATATATGAACCATGACAAATCTTAGGTATTTAGGTAATGTTAGATAGAGATAGGTAAAAAACAACGGACGCCAAAAAATATAGCTTATACCAAAAATATAGCTTCAAATTATAGTTATATAAGTTTCTCGTAGCCTAATAAGGATTCCGATAGACACAGCCCACTGAGTTTCTCGCTGGATCTTCTCAGTGGGTCGCGTTTCCGATCTGGTGGTAGATTCTGCGAAGCACTGCTCTTGCTAGGGCCAATGTTAGCAACACTCCCGGCTTGAGCCCCGTGAGCTCACCTACTAGCTCGGTGAATCTAGAATAACCCCTCGAGGTTACTAGAATAGGTAGGAAAAAAAACGGATTATCTCATGCGGGGGGTCACAGGTTCGCGAATGGTGTGCATTTCATTTTTTTTTAAAGTATGTCGCATCAGTGGCCTACCGAAGTACTCACCCTTAATGCTTTAATAAAGAAACGTTGTTAAATTAGCATAAGCAAAAATATAAAATAAACATCACGGTAGCTATACCTACGTCCAATAACCAGATATTCAGATAATATTTAGTAATTACCAATTTATTTTATGTTTTTTTTTTCATTTGCCTCGTAAAATATTTCAGTTTTGAATTTAAAATGAGTAAATTTATGTGCTTGTATTATGGTAAACAAAGAAAACTAAACTACATATATTATAATGGACGTAATTTACCTTGTAGTGTCAAAATTAAGATACAATTTTGATTGTAAAAATTAACTTCAATATATACAAATTTTTAATCTTTAAATTATATTTATAGATTAAAAATACATTCGCTTTACCCACTTACCTTGATTACTCGCAGCTTAGGATCAACATAGACATAGTCTTTGTCCCTTTTTATTAACGGATATCCTTTGACAACAACTTTCCCTGTGGAGATCAACAAATTATTCACTTTTGTTCCGTCCACAAAGTCCTTAGCTTCGATATTTAACACGAAAACAACGGATAGAAGCACAAAAACGATTTTATAATTCATTTTTGAGAAGTTAGGTTATGTTGTTGATGTCATTTCTCGAGCGAACTGCGTAAGCGGCAAGGAAAATATTTTATCTACATCAAAATGACCTCGTCATCAACAAGTTCATTCTACTCGTAATAATGTTCGTTGAGGCACATAAATTCATTGTTTTTTTTCCTTCTGATATATCCAAATCGTGTTACTGTTTATTATGCGTCCAAAAATTGACATACGTACTTTGACTAAGATAGTTTGTAAATTAAGATAATTTTTTGTCAATAGCTTGCACGAAACATCCACTAACATCATTATAGGTGTGACTCAATACATCACAGTAATTCAAATTGAAGTTGCTTTATTTTATTGTTATAGAAATGTGCACGAACGCAAAAGTCTTGTTTTTTATTCATAAAACCGACTGATGAGATGATAAAAAACAAAGTAACTCGTCGGAATGGTTTAAAAATGCACACGAAAACTGTTATAGCTCCTTTTTATTTCTTTAAAACCGCTTATAACGCTCAGGACTCCTTTATACTATTAATATATACGTAAAGATATATTTGTTTTGAGTTACCCTTGCTTAACACAAAAATAGTAAGAGTAAAATTGAAATGAAGAAACAGATAACAAATCATGTTTGTAATTACACAAAATAAGCATTAATGGAGTGTTCAAAGTGCAATAAAACTGAAGTTGTTAGTTGAAATTTCGCATTCAGCTTCTCGCACCTAAATACAAAATTAAATGTTAAACCGTAATACGTATTTCGTACAAATTGCAATACAGAACACATGAGATTAACTGCTTACAAATTTACATCCTCGTCGAGCATTTAAAATAATTGCAACGTGCTCGGTTGAGAAATAAAATTTCTTGTGAAATACAGCCCATTTAATGGGTAGTAGGGCTTTTTGTAAACCAGCCCGGGTAGGTTTTTACTGGTGGTAGGACCTCTTGTGAGTCCGCGCGGGTAGGTACCACCACCCTGCCTATTTCTGTCGTGAAGCAGTAATGCGTTTCGGTTTGAAGGGTGGGGCAGCCGTTGTAACTATACTGAGATCTTAGAACTTATATCTCAAGGTGGGTGGCGCATTTACGTTGTAGATGTCCATGGGCTCCAGTAACCACTTTACACCAGGTGGGCTGTGAGCTCGTCCAACCATCTAAGCAATAAAAAAAAAAGTACCACCATGCTGCCTTCTTCTGCCGCGACGCAGTCGTGGCTTCTGATTTAAAGAGTGGGACAGACATGACGTAATATACTTAGTCTGGCCATAAATACTGCTACAAAGGAAAACAAAAAAAAATTCTATGGCAACTAACATTTATTACTTTTACAGTAATTTACAGTGTGTTAATTTAATACATAAATATAAAACAATTTAAAGTATAAAAATCTTATTCGAAGTGGTCTCCATTGGCTGCAATACAGTCCTTTAAACGTTGAGGCCAGTTATCAATAAAAGCACGCACTCTTTCCATGTTGTAACAGTAATTGTAACAGTATTTATGGCCAGACTACGGCTTTTGGTAGCCGCTCAATACCAGGTGGTCCTCATTCAATCATGTGGCAAAAATGAAAAAGACGAAGATCTCAATCGCGCCTTTCAATCCTACAACAACACAACACCAGTAGTTTATGAAGTCGTCGTGGCCTAAAGGATAAGCCGCCCGGTGCATTCGTATTGAGCGATTCGACTACCGACTGTGCCGGTGTTCGGATCCCGCAGAGATATACCGATTTATCTAATGAAATACGTACTTAAAAATTATCACGATTGATTTCCACGGCGAAGGAATAGCATCGTGTAATAAAAATCAAACCCGCAAAATTATAATTTGCGTAATTACTGGTGGTAGGACGTCTTGTCAGTCCGCATGGGTAGGCACCATCACCCTACCTATTTCTGCCGTAAATCAGTAATATGTTTCATTTTGAAGGGTGGGGTAACAGCTATACTGTAAAAACTGAGATTTAGAACTCATTTCTCAACGCGGGTGGCGATATTAACGTAGTAGAGGCCTACGGGCTACGCTGACCACTTAACACCCGGTGGATCGTGAGCTCATTCATCCATCACAGCGATAAAAAATCTCTAGTTCGTAAACTTTGTTGGACACATCTGATAGGTACTACATCAATCCAAAACCAATTGCATGCTGCATTTTATAAGTAGGTCCTTAAATCTAATTTTAACTTAATTTGTCAATACGGTACACGCACAGGTACTTATTTTACGAGGATATAAACACCTGCGTTTTATTACTTTACATCAATGCATTTAGCAGCATCATTACCACTCTCTGTATGTTATGTTAATTGGATTTGTATTTAACGACTATTATCTTGATATTAAACTTATAATAAACCATTAACTTTTCAACGATTGTAAGTAAGAATAATATCAAATTTGTTTATGTTTGTATTTTATAGTTTTTCCCGCTAATTCAAGATAATTACAATTTAATGAATTAGCAGTTAAATGTAGTGTACCTATGCGAGCAAAAGCAAGGTTAATGAATATTAAAAATACACAAGAGTTTCTTGAAGATTTAGAAGTGTTTTAATAGGAATTTTAATACCAACTTTGGATGGAAATGAATTAGATAAAATAATTATTAAAGAAATATAAATTTCAAGCAGTTTTAAAGAATTATGGATAATGGTGAAATTACTAGATTGTGCTAAATTGCTTTCGATTCACATGTCAAAGGTGATGTCTCCTATATAAGTTTCATTGATTACCGTGCATAAAATATATTTCGCTCTTACAGTTATTTAACCTAAGTTATAATGTATAATTGGTTTACATTTTCAGTATCGTGTGCGGTACAAATTTCACATTTTTTTTATTTTATTGCCTAGATGGGTGGACGAGCTTACAGCCCACCTGATGTTAAGTGGTTACGGGAGCCCATAGACATCCACAACGTAAATGCGCCACCCACCTTGAGATATAAGTTCTAAGGTCTCAAGTTTAGTTACAACGGGTGCCCCACCCTTCAAACCGAAACGCATTACTGCTTCACGGCAGAAATAGGCAGGGTGGTGGTACCCACCCGCGCGGACTCACAAGAGGTCCTACCACCAGTAATTACGCAAATTATAATTTTGCGGGTTTCATTTTTATTACACGATATTATACTTAATTTATATGACGCAATACAATACAACTCACGGCCCTTTCTTTGGTGAAAACGTTAAAATGCACACACTTCGTGCAATTATACGTGATTGCGTGTAAAAAGCGAACATCTTTAATACAGTGTAAAACATTATCCGAAGCGCGTCGCACAATTAAATCATCGCGCACTGCAATCTCGCAAACGAGATTCGCGCATTCACAAGAGCGTTGTCGGGATGTTATTTCAGACTCAGGCAGCCACGTCATTGCTTTGATCTTCCCTCGACTTTTTGCAGTGCACTCGTTTATATGCGACGACAAATAACTCAAACAGGCGGAGTATTTTTTTGTTTTTTTTTTGTTTTTAATGCGAAATCTTCATTAGTGAGATCACTCATGTTGGTTTTATGTTGTTGGAAATTTTGTTGTTCTTTAAATTTTATTCAAAGATTTTTCAGATATATCAAAGAAAGGAAAGGTTGCTCACAAATTTCAAAGAAACTTGTGGTCTATTAATAAATCAATAATCCGAAGTTTCGGTATTTTAAAGTCTGATGTTTCTTAAAAACGTGCTTCGTGTGTTTTAGTCTCAATATAATTCAAATAAAACTGAGTTTTTTCTTTTCATTTCACACAAACAAAATAAAAGAGGTTAATTTTGAAAATTTTGTGTCACAATTCTTTACGTAATCAAAAATATATTCCATAAAGTCGTGTTTCAAAGAAGTATTCGCGTGATTCCCCATTAATACTTCTATCGGCAATCAATCGAATGCTCGATGCAAAATTTAGCGAAAGCCTTGCGCCGTCCATTTGCCGTGATTGGACCGGCATAATAGACCGGTGCCAGACGGAACGTTTTCCAATAAATTGCCGGATATATTTTGGATATCGGTGTGTTGAGTGGATTGCGCAGATTTCCTGTACTTTTCAGCATGTTTCGATTGAGTGGTCACCCCGGAACTTCGTGATCAGCATTCATTTCACTCGGCTCTGTGTTAGTGTTTATTTTTAATCAGTCAAATACTTCAAATAAATCAAGCCTTTTCTAGGTAGTTTTTAGTAAAAAAATTGTTTAAGCTATTGGTTTTTAGCCTTGTCACCACAGGTTTACGGCCCATTTATTTTGAATAGTTAACATCAGCAATGTCAGGGTCCAACCCTGCCGCTGTTGTTTAGAGTATTTACAATTAATCGTGCGGATTCAATGTTCTTATGTTTCCTGAACTGTTCATAATGTCATGTGATCTTAATTTTTGATGCTCAGAAATCCGATCTCGTTTGAAAAATGCTTATACCAAAACAAAATGTTCAAAAGTGTTTGGAAAGTTAAATGATTGTTTTAGTGTTGCGGATCTGTTTGGATCTAAGAGGATTTTTTTCGTTCACCTACATATCGGAGCCGACGATGACGATAAGCACGTCGGAGAATTACTGTCTGAGAATTCAGTTCTATAAGCGCGATGGTAACTACCATCTAGATTGATTAATTGTTATACGACAAAGCGATTTACAAAAAGAGATTTTCAAGTAGGCGAAATAAGATTGAGGTGGTTTGGTTTTGCCAGTGACAGAAGCGAGTGTCGTCTGCTAATGTCTTCATGATTAGCGCTGAATCGATTCGATTTTTACCATCATGTAAACAACTACGAAAAAAAAACCCGATTTAATTCACAAAAGTCGATGTAAAAAAAAAGTTGAACCATTTTTTTTTATTGCTTAGATGGGTGGACGATCTCACAGCCCACCTGGTGTTAAGTGCTTACTGGAGCCCATAGACATCTATAACGTAAATGCGCCACCCAACTTGAGATATAAGTTCTAAGGTCTCAAGTACAGTTACAACGGCTGCTTCACCCTTCAAACCGAAACGCATTAGTGCTTCACAGCAGAAATAGGCAGGGTGGTGGTACCTACCCGTGCGGACTCACAAGAGGTCCTACCACCAGTAAAATTTTGTAGGC